AGATTAGATTAGACCTTTCTAGAAGACTGAGTTTAGGTCTTCCTAGTCCTTTTATCTATCATTCCCCATAAACAAATAAATGCACTGTAATGTTGATAATTATTATTTTTCTTCTTTTATTTTAGATTAATATGAGAGTACAGACAATTAGGTTTCACTGTTTGTGTTTGTTAGGTAAAGTCCAAGTTCTAGTTGTGCCCCTCCCCCAGGAGGTGTACCATGTACCCTTACAATATACCTGGTAGGTGAGAGCACACTAACCCCTCCCTCCTCTACTCTCCCCATTCCCCTATATTTATTCTGTCTTTGGAGAAAAGCCTGAACCCCGCCTTATGGAGGAAAATCAATTGATAGAGGGGCTCTCATCCCCTGTAGCTAACTGAAAAAAAGGCTAATGATTTGGGCAGCAGAGGAAAACTAAATCAAAGAAATTTCACTTTTTTTTTTAGACACAGTCTCACTATGTGCCCTTGGTAGAGTGCCGTAGTGTCACAGCTCACAGCAACCTCAAATTCTTAGGCTTAAGCGATTCTCTTGCCTCAGCCTCCCAAGTAGCTGGGACTACAGGCACCCACCACAAGGCCTGGCTATTTTTGTTGTTTATTTAGCAGGCCTGGGCTGGGTTCGAACCCACCAGCCCTGGTGCATGTGGCCAGAGCCCTAACCACTGAACTAGAGGCGCTGAGCCAAGAAACGCACTTTATAATTTGGTTTTCTCTGTACAGGGTAAGCTACTTGGGAAAAAAAAGAGAGAGAGAAAGGTCATTTTAGAGTTCTATTCCACCTACTTTTTTTTTTTTTTTTTGACATAGAACCTAAAGCTATCACTCTGGGTAGAGGTGCTGTAGCATCACAGTTCACAGCAACCTCCAACTCCTAGGCTCAAGCGATTCTCTTGCCTCTACCTCCCAAGTAGCTGGGCCCACAGGCGCCACCAAAACGCCCAGCTATTTTTTGGTTGAAGGCGTCATTGTTGTTTGGTGGGCCCCGGCCTGGATTCGAACTCACCAGCTCAGGTGTATTGCCTGGCGGTTAGCTACTTGAGCCCCAGGTGCCGAGCCTATTCCACCTACTTTTAACCTCCAAAATATAATGTATAGGCTCACGTCTGTAGCTCAGCAGCTAGAGTGCCAGCCACATACACTGAGGCTGGCAGGTTCAAACCCAGCCCGGGGCTGCTAAACAACAATGACAACAACAACACAAAAATAATTGGGCGCCTATAGTCCCAGCTACTTGGGAGGCTGAGGCAAGAGAATTGCTTAAGGCCCAAGAGTTTGAGGTTACTATGTTGCAAGGGCAACATAGTGAGACTCTGTCTCAAGAAAAAAGAAAAAAAGAATGGATGGCCAGGCACAGTGGCCTGTGCCTATGATCTCAGCTATTGGGGAGGCTGAGGCAGGAATATTGCTTAAAGCCAGGAGTATGAAATCAGCATGGACAATGTAACAAGACCCTCATCTCTGAAAGAAATTAGTTTTAAAAAATTCTCAAATGAGGGCGGCACCTGTGGCTCAAAGGAGTAGGGCACAGGCCCCATATACCGGAGGTGGTGGGTTCAAACCCAGCCCCGGCCAAAAACTGCAAAAAAAAAAAAAAAAAAATTTTTTTTTAAATGAAATAACATTAAAAAGAAAACAAAATGTTTCTTCCCTTGACATTCCATGTTCCTATTAATCAGAAACCCAACATTTAGGCTCAGCGCCTGTAGCTCAGCAGGTAGGGCACTGGCCACATACACCAGGGCTGGCGGGTTCAAACCTGGCCGGAGTGTGCCAAACAACAGTAACAACTACAACAAAAAAAAGGCTGGGTAGGACCATGCCTGTGGCTCAAAGGAGTAGGGCACCGGCCCCATATGCCAGAGGTGGTAGGTTCGAACCCAGCCACAGCCAAAAACTGCAAAAAGGAATAGCTGGGCATTGTGGCAAGCGCCTCTAGTCCCAGCTCCTTGGGAGGCTGAGAATCGCCTAAGCCCAAGAGTTGGAGGTTGCTGTGAGCTGTGACGCCACAGCATTCTACCGAGGGTGACATAGTGAGACTGTCTCAAAAAAAAAAAAAAAATCGCTCTAAATCCCACCATCTACATCAGGTTTTTATTTGGGATGGGCAGACTCCAGAAGGTGAACAAAGTTAAATACCTACAGATTAGTTCATGACGCAGTCAACTAGAAAAGCCAGAGGCAAAATACAAAGGTATAATTTGTATTTTTTAAAGAATAAAAACAAGAGACAACCAAAATGCCTTGGAAACCTCCACCTCTAAGGTGAATCTATTCTCTAATTTTGTTTTTTAGTAGTCATTCTAAAATAGGTTATTTTAAAATCAGGAGAGCAACAGAGGGCCTTTTAAGATAAGCTTCCCCTTCCAAGCAGGGGAAGCCACTGGAAAGCACTGTTGAGGGAGAGGGTGAAAGTCCACATTCTGGGGATCATCTCTGAAATATTAGCCTTTCTTACCAGGTCTTTTCTGATAGCCTCACAGAAATTAGTTCCTTCTATGAATCAATTCCACAAAGGCAAATCTCTGGACATATGATGTCCAAATCACAACTTCAAAAAAGCTAGTCATCCTCCTCCTCCCATTTATCACATGAGGTCAAAGTTTTTATTGATATCCAGGCCAACTAAATGGAATGGTATCATTTAGGACCCTATTAGAATCTTAGTATCCCATTTTTATTTATCTATTTTTTTGAGACAGAGTCTCACTACCTCACCCTCAGTAGAGCGCCACTGCATAACAGCTCATAACAACCTCTAATTCTTAGGCTTAGGAGATTCTCTAGCCTCAGCCACTCAAGCAGCTGGGACTATAGGCACCCGCCACAAGGCCTGGCTGTTTTTTGTTATTGTTGTTATAGTTGTCATTGTTGTTTAGCTAGGCCTGGGCCAGGTTTGAACTCATCTGCCTCGCTGTCTGTGGCTGGTGCTCTAACCACTGAGCTAAGGGTGCCAAGCCAGTATCCTATTTTTAAACACCTTTTCTGGAGTCTTAGTCAAATTTAGGATATGAAACATAAAACTGAGAATACGATAGATAAGCCAAGCAAGTTGAAATGTGCATCAGAAAGGGCAGTGTCTGGGTGGCACCTGTGGCTCAAAGGATTAAGACACTGGCCCCATATGCAGGAGGTAGCAGGTTCAAATCCAACCCCGGCCAAAAAAAAAAAAAAAGAAAGAAAGAAAGGACACTGTTGACTGTTTCTTTTAAGCGAAATAATGGACCAAAACACTGCCCCAAAACTTTTGTAGTGACCTATGTAACACACAAACTCAGAACAATTCATTCAGTTCGGAGCCTCATATCCAAATGTGCTACAGCACCTCAATTTGTGGTTCTGAAAGTACATTAGCAGACCACCTGCATCAGAATCTCCTGGGTCTTTTCATGTTTAGAGTGCTAGGACCTACCCCACACACTCCTACTAAATCTGAATCTAGGGGATAGAGCCTGAACGTGACATTTTTAATATGCCCCTTGGGTGACTTTAACACACACTTTAGTCTGAGAATACTAAATTAAACCCACTGACATCTTTGCTATTTTGTTACCAAGATATGTATCTACATGGGACGTCAATCCCTCTCCCTTGCAACCTATTTCTTAACTAGAAGCAGTAGTTAACAAACCCTCCAGTTCCCTACAAACAGCTCTATAAAAGAAAGCAAGAAACTAAGAAACATTAAAGACCATGCATGATTTTTAGGGTTGGGCGTCCAGAGCTCAGTGGTTAGGGCGTCGGCCACATGTTCCGGGGCTGGTGGGTCCGAACGGGGCCCCAGCCTGCTAAACAAAAAAAATAGCCGGGCTTTATGGTGGGCGCCTATAGTCCCAGCTACTAGGGAGGCTGAGGCAAGAGAATCGCAGGAGTCCAAGAGTTTAAGGTTATTGCGAGCTATGACGCCATGGCACTCTATCGAGGGTGACAAAGTGAGACTTTGTCCAAATTAAGAAAACAAACAGGCTCAGCGCCTATAGCTCAACCGGCTAAGGCGCCAGCCACGTACACCTAAGGTGGCGGGTTCGAATCCCCAGCCCGGACCCGCCAAACAACGACGGCTGCAACCAAAAAATAGCCGGGCGTTGTGGCGGGCGCCTGTGGTCCCAGCTACTTGGGAGGCGGAGGCAGGAGACTCGCTTGAGCCCAGGAGTTGGAGGTTGCTGTGAGCTGTAACGCCACGGCACTCTACCCAGGGGGACAGCTTGAGGCTCTGTCTCAAAAAAAAAAAAAAAACAAACAAAAAACAAAAGATCATGCACAATTTTAAGTGATTTGGGTCTCTGGTACATCCCCAAAATAATCATGTAAAGAGGGGCAGGAGTAGCCAATTCTCCAATGGCTCAAGATCAAAAATACCCCTTTCCTTCTTCACCACAAGCACAGCAATACCTCTGGCAATTCCCTGACACCAAACAGATCCGATTTCCTTTGGCGACCCCAACCTCTATTTAGAGTACTTTCCTTACTTCTTCACAGAGCTGCCTCATAATTGTTGTAAAAACGTTTCACATAATCAAATACACACACACAGTCCCACGGCCTCCTTGGAATCCTGAGACATCCTTCCCACTGCCTCTCCTCTATCTCTGAACTCGGGTTCTGACTGACCCACAAATGCCCCCCTCCCAACTCAAAGCTTTCCCCGCCCTTCGGATAACCCAAGCCCTCTGCAAACAGAGGCCCTCCCCAGTTCCCGCCGCGCACAGCCTGGTCCCCTGGGTCCTGCTCCTGTAGCTGGAACTACAGGCGCCCGCCACAACACCCGGCTTGGGCGACCCCTGCCCCCAGATCCCCTGCCCGAGGCCTCTTGCAACCCCTCTCCTCCTCCCATCAAGACGGATGCCCTCCCAAAGCATCCCCGATTCGACAGGCCCAGGCCGGGGTCCCGGACGTGCAGCCCAACTCCCACTTTTCGCCACTTCCCAGGGTTGTTTTGCAGGGCAGGGGTGCAGTCCACCCTCCACTTTGCTTCTCTTGCCCTCTCGCCTTCCTTACCCGCCTGCAGCCCGGTTTCGGCGACATCTTCAGCAGGGCTGGGCTCAGTCCAGCCGCCGCCCGTGGGGGAGGAGGGATAACTGTGGTTGTGGGAGCATTTGATGTCGCGGAAGAACTTCTGGGTCTCGCGCAGGTTCTGTCTCAGCCGACCCAGGTAGCGGCGGTAGCGACCGAAGCCCCGGCACAGCTCGCGAATCATTCCGCCTCCTCCGGGGCCGGGACCCGAGACGTGCTCGCTGCCCCATGGCACCCGGTCGCCATCCATATCTTCTGCTAGCTATGTCTTTCGCGGCTCGGTCGCCGGCCGCAGGCCCGGCCTCCCTCCTCCCCGCCCCCCAATGCTTGAGGGAGGAGGAATCCGCCTCCTGACGCCCCCGCCCGCAAGCGGCCTGGCTCCCAAACTCCGTCACTGCCGTAGCAAACAAACCAGCCCGCAGTGCGCCGCCAACGGAACCTTTCTCTACACTATCCTCAAGAGTGAGGGAAGGAACGCCGGAGGACGTGGTCACTGCGGAGTCTCCTGGGATTTGTAGTCTGAGCTGGGGCCGAGCGCCAAAACCTAAAGGCTGAAGGAGGGGAGGCTGTGGATGGGGCTGCTCCCCCTTTGGTAAAACGCTCATCTGTTCTTGTTCTTACACGCTTTCCTCGTTTAAAAATATGTTCCCAATCCCTACATGAGTGCCCCTGAGGAGATGGAGGAGGTACAGAATCTGAACTCCCGCAGAAGTGGAGTGCTTTACTGAAATCAGAGGCAAAGATTTTAGTAGCAGAGAAAAGGAAGGAAACATGACCGGGGACAGTAATATCTCCATGGTTACCCTAAATGGCTCACTTTCCGGATACAGGAGATACCGGTGAATTGGCTCAAACGGCTCTGGAAATAGGGAAATCTCTTAGTTTGTATCCTCCATTTCCGACTTTCCTTCTCCGTATGTGGAAAGGAGGGTCTGTAAGGGTTAAGAGCTATTAATTAGCTGAAGTGCAATGAGTTTCTTAAAGTAGGGAGACCGGGCTGAGTAAGGGGAAGTTGAGGTTTGTAACCTTCCAAACCATTTCTGATTATCTTAATTCGGCTTCTGCTAATATGCAAAGACTTCCATTGACACAGACTGTCACAGACCCTTGGACACAATTATAAAGAGTACAAAACTTGACATCGCCTCTTTTCCACTTCCTACTTTCTCCTCTGCACCAGACACAGAGTCCACTTGTGTCTTTTTTGCTGTGGAATAGCCCCATAGCTCTCTTTCGCTCTTTTTCAGGTTAATGGGAGGATACAAACAACTAGGTTACGATGTTTGCATCTGTTAGGTACAGTCCCTCTTGTAGTTGTATCCTACACCCAAGAAGTGTGCCATGTACCCTTACACTTACATTATCCCCATTAAGTGGGACCCCATCTTTTACTTAGATCAGACCTCCTCTGTGACAGGTTGGATGGTATGGTGTGGTAGTTCCTTAACTGAACTTAAGAGATTGGAGTTTGGTCTGGACCCCAAAGTCTTGGCTTGTGACTTCAAGCATGACCCTGTTTCATGTATAAAATAAGGGTTTAAAATTTCTATTTACTTATTTAGGGACAGGGTCTCAGAACACACATATCTATCAATACTTTTGTTCCCTCCTAGAACATCATTAAGGTGACAGGGAATTTCTTTTTTTTTAATAGAGACAGTCTCACTTTGTTGCCTTTGGTAGAGTGCTGTGGCGTAGCAGCTCACAGCAACCTCCAACTCCTGGGCTTAGGCGATTCTCAGTAAGGGAATTTTTATTTATTTATTTATTTTTTTAGTAAGGGAATTTTTAAAAGAATAAAGCCATAGTAATCAAAGGAGCTAGTAGAAAAGGGTAAAGTTGAAGATGGAAAGCAAATGGACAAATGTTAACTAAGTTACCAATCTGGGGAAATCTGAATCCTAAATCCTAAAAGTTGCACTTTTCAACTTTAATGTGCACATTAATCATGTGAAGATCTTTTTTCTTTTTCTTCTGGTAAACTTCCATGGAGCCAAGGGACCTTTTTAAAATACATGTCTGGAAAAAAAAATACACACACACACACACACACACACACATATATATATTCAGGCTGATTCAGTAAGTCTGGGGTGCCACTTGAGATTCTACATTTATAAGAAGTTCTCAGCTGGTATCATTGCTTCTGGTCCGTGGATCACAATTCAGGCAGCAAGGATGTTAGGAGACAGTGTAGGAGTCAGCAAAACCTCATGATTAAGGAAATAGGTGTTGGAGACAGATCCTAGTTCTATCCCTTCATGTTTGTATACCCTTGGAAACATTTTTTATTTTCTCTCAGTTGTAGTCCCTCACCTGTAAAATGAGGATAACAGTACCTTCTTCAAAGGCTTACTGTGACTATTAAAAGGCCAGTGCCAACATAATCTTAAACAATGTCAAAATAAGCCTTTAAAAAAAAATAAAATAGAGCAGTATCTGACATATAAGCACTCAATAAATGGCAGCTGTTTTTATCATTGTTATTATTATAAACTTGAGTTCTACTACTGACTTGCTACCGTATATATAATCTTGGACGTATCATTGGCCCTTCTGAGTCTTGGTTTTCTCTTACATCAAATGGGATCATAATAGTGGCCACCTCTAGGGTATTATGAGCATTAAAATGGAAAAAAATATATTTAAAAAGGTTTAGCATTTGCCTTGGGAGGCCAAGGCAGGTGGATTGCTTGAGCTCAGGAGTGCAAGACCAGCCTGAGCAGGAACCAGACCTCATCTCCACTAAAAAACAAAAATTAGCTGGATGTAGTGGTGCATGCCTGTAGTCCTGGCTACTTGGGAGGCTGAGATAAGAAGATTGCTCAAGCCCAAGAGTTTGAGGTTGCTGTGAGCTATGATGTAACAGCACTCAACCCCAGGGGAACTGAGAGTCTGTCTCAAAAAAAGAAAAAAAAGAGACTCCTTCTTGAAATTCCATTACTAGGCATTTAGCCAGAAGAAAAAAATCATTTTATCATAAGGACATTTGCACTAGATTGTTTAGGGCAAACGCAAACCTTTTATTAATCCATTCATGGGTTAGCTATAAGCCCATGAATGGATTAATAAACTGTGGTATATGTATACCATGGAATGCTATTCAGCCATAAAAAGATGGAGACTTCACATCTTTGTATTAACCTGGACAGAGTTGAGACACATTCTTCTTTGCAAAGTATCACAAGAATGGAAAAGCAAGTATCCAATGTACTCAATACTAATATGAAGCCTGCAGATGAACTAATATACATGCACAAGAGAGAAAAACTCACATCAAGTTGGGGAGGAAGGTAGGGGGATAGGAGCAGAGGGAGGAGGATTGGTGTGCTTCCGCCTAATGGGCACAATGTAATGGTATGTGCACACCTCCTGGATGTAGGACGCGACTATAAATGTAAACACTGTAACCTAATCATTTGGGCCCTCAATCTGAAATTTTAAAGAAATAACAGTGGAGAGTAAAAAAAAGGTGAGAATCTTATGATTATGCTCATCATCACTGGGTTGTTAGGAGGATTCAATGAGCCATAGTTAGTGAAAATACTCTGAAATTGAAATCCTGTAAAAGTTTAGGGGAAAGCAAAGGAATCAGAATTTCACGTGAGTTCCAGTCCTAGCATTGCTGCTTACTCATAATTTTAAGCAAATCATTTAACTTTTTGGAACCCCTCAAACCTCATCTGTATAGAGGAACTAATAATACCTGCGTCTCAGGGTTGTGAAGATTAAATAATAAAATGTATAAAGTACTTATACATTATGTTTACCTAGCACATAGACAGACTTAACGAATGTTTTCTTTCTGTAGTAACTGCTCACGTTTAGTCTTATGTATTTTTCCAAGGAGGATGGTATCTCTGAGAATATTTGGTTTTCAAGATTCTCTACATGAAGGTTTATTAACTTGAAGATTAAAGGTCTATAAAATTGAACTGCTAGATGTATCCTGTTTAATTATACATCAAGTATTATTCCATTGCTGAATATTTCATCAGTGGCCTCCCTGGCTGTTAGGATGCAGAGCATGGGGAGGAAAAACAATCAATTAAGGGAAATTTAGTTTAACCCCAAACCGAGATCATAGGTGGCACCTGTAGCTCAAGTGGCTAAGGCGCCAGCCACATACACCAGAGCTAGTGGGTTCGAATCTGGCCAGGGCCTGCCAAACAATGACAACTACAACCAAAAAATAGCCGATGTTGTAGCGGGTGCCTGTAGTCCCAGCTACATAGGAGGCTGAGACAAGAGAATAGCTTAAGCCCAGGATTTGAGGTTGCTGTGAACTGTGACACCATAGCACTCTACCCAGGGCAATGGCTTGAGGCTCCATCTCAAAAAAACAAACAAAAAAACCCCGAGATCATCTTTGCTTTACTGCCAAGTAGTAAAAACAAAAAAAAAATTTTTTTTTTTGGAAACAGAGTCTCACTCTGTGGCCTTGGGTAGAGTGCCATGGTGTCATCATAGCTCATAGCAA